GGACCAGGTGCAGCCAATGAGATCCAGGATGAATATTCTTCTAAATGGATGTAGACAGTCCTGTCTAATGGAAACCACCACTACCAACCTATTCCACTACTTGAAGGACAGGGGGTTTCTTCCAGAGATATCAACCTTCACTCACCTGTCCTCATGTTACCTCTTTGTCCTAGTTACAGGGGCCAGGACCAATTTTTTACTATGTGGGTATAACCAAAACTGTGTATTATATTTCCTCTATGTCATTTCTGATGGAATGTTAATAATGGATGATTTGCAGCAGCTGCCCAGGGCACACCTAATGACTCAGCTGTGATAACTCCCCTCCTGGGAGGAATCAGCACCTTCACAACCAGCCTGAGCTGCTGATGGGCCATACTCGACTGCCATTATAGGCAGCTGCAACACCTAGACCATCAAAGACTCCAAAAATATCCCATGACTCACAGAGTTAAATCACCCACTGTGAAACTCCCTACCCTGGGGGAGATACTGGAGATTCCCACCAGAACCTGAGCACATATAATCTCGGGGTTTGGGGACTTCTGGTACTACTTGTCAGATTGAGAGGATGACCAGAACTCCAACCAGAGTGCAGCTGCCACTCTCCACAAGACTGTGATCATTACCTCAACAGAACTGCCACCATTATTGGGACGAAAAGGTTTTTCCTTTCCTTTTACTTTGCACCCAGGGGGACCATGTGGTGCTCAGCACAGGGGCCAACTAACAATGTTCTGTTCTTGTCCCAGGAGGCTGGGTTAGACATCTGGTTTTGTGGGTTAAACCCAGTTTTTCTCTGTATCATTGTATCTATTGTAATTTATTTTTAGTAAACTGTAACTCTGAATTATAACCTCTCTAGAGTTGGGTTCATTTCTCCTGCTAGTTTACTCTTAAACAAGCACACTATTCAAAGCCTGAGTTTTCCTCCTCTCATACAAAGAGTTTGAGTCTGGTAGTACCATTAAAATGAGAGATGCTCTGTTCTGGAATGTCACGAATTTGAAGAGTAGCTACTAGAAGGCTTTAGTCCCTGCTGGAAAATAGGGCAAGGTTTGCAAAAGGCAATGGCAATTTTAAAATTAACAGAGAGGAGTGAGTCTTGTAATGAAGAGTACAGGCAGGTTATTTTAAACATCATTAAAATAATGGGGGCTTTACTGGATATTGCTTCAATGAGAGAGAGGCAGAAAAAACAAGAACAAAACTCTAGAAAGGTAACATCAAAATATAGTTATAAAAGCATTCAGGCCCTAATTTCATGCTAAGAGCAATCCTGCCTTGTTTCTGCTGCCCACAGCTGCTCATTCCCATCTGCATCTTTGTCATGCACCCAGCATGGCTCCAAAAACACAACTTGACATGGTGAGCAACTGTACAGAAGTGCAAGAAGCTACAAAAGGGCTTTTCCACCAAACGATGATCCTGTAAAACTGTGATCTCATAGGATTACCACAAGAATTTATTTTTTTTTTTACTGTAAGTGTTGACTGGAATTCTTGAAAACCTAAAAAATGCATGTATCTTCTTGTGATTAAGGAAAGAACTGTGCTTTGGTTTTTTGGGGTACTTTTAATTATATGTCAGTAAATGTGGGGAGTACCCTTAAGACGCAGGATTTCATCCTTTCTCTGACAGAGACAACC